GGACCAGTGCAGGCAAGCCCTGAGTCTTCATAACTTTTTATTGTTTTAATCTGATTTTATTGTAAGCTGCCCCGAGAGCTTCAGGTAAAAGGAAGGATATAATGATTAGACTTGTGCATTGATCATTTTTAGCAATTTTTCTTCAGCTTTTTTAGCTTGTTCAGCTTCTCCAGATGGTGATAATGGCAAAAGCTTAGCCACCATGTTTTTTTTCCACCTGAAATGGCTCACGTGGATGCTGGACACGACTTCTTCCCTTTCTATTTGAGAGTACATGATGCATGCTGCCTTAACTCCATTCCTCCAACCCAGACTCCCTTGAAGGAAAGAAAGAAAAGGGTCCTAGGAAGGGTGCTTCCTTAACCCCGTTCCTCCAACCCAGGCTCCTTGAAAGGAGGAAGAAAAGGGTCCCAGGAAGGGTGCTTCCTTAACCCTGTTTGTCAAACCCAGGCTTCCTTGAAGGAAAGAAAGAAAAGAGTCCTAGGAAGGGTGCTTCCTTAACCCCATTCCTCCAACCCAGACTCCCTTGAAAGGAAGAAAGAAAGGGGTCCCAGGAAGGCTGCTTCCTTAACTCCGTTCCTCAAACCCAGGCTCCTTGAAAGGAGGAAGAAAAGGGTCCCAGGAAGGGTGCCTCCTTAACCCTGTTCCTCAAACCCAGTCTTCCTTGAAGGAAAGAAAGAAAAGGGTCCTAGGAAGGGTGCTTCCTTAACCCCGTTCCTCCAACCCAGACTCCCTTGAAAGGAAGAAAGAAAGGGGTCCCAGGAAGGCTGCTTCCTTAACTCCTTTCCTCAAACCCAGGCTCCCTTGAAAGGAAGAAGAAAAGGGTCCCAGGAAGGGTGCCTCCTTAATCCCATTCCTCTATCCCAGGCTCCTTGAAAGGAGGAAGAAAAGGGTTCTAGAAAGGGTGCTTCCTTAACTCCTTTCCTCAAACCCAGGCTTCCTTGAAAGGAAGAAAGAAAGGGGTCCCAGGAAGGGTGCTTCCTTAACCCTGTTTCTCAAACCCAGGCTTCCTTGAAGGGAAGAGCGAAAAAGGTCCTAGAAATGGTACTTCCTTAACTCCTTTCCTCAAACGCAGTCTCCCTTGAAGGGAAGAAAGGAAATGGTCCCAGAAAAGGTGCTTCCTTAACCCCGTTCCTCAAACCCAGGCTTCATTGAAGAGAAGAAAGAAAAAGATCCTAGAAAGGGTACTTCCTTAACTCCTTTCCTCAAACCAAGTCTTCCTTGAAGGAAAGAAAGGGTCCCAGAAAGGGTGCTTCCTTAACCCCGTTCCTCAAACCCAGGCTCCTTGAAAGGAGGAAGAAAAGGGTCCCAGGAAGGGTGCCTCCTTAACCCCGTTCCTCAAACCCAGGCTCCTTGAAAGGAGGAAGAAAAGGGTCATAGAAAGAGTGCTTCCTTAACTCCTTTCCTCAAACCCGGGCTTCCTTGAAAGGAAGAAACAAAGGGGTCCCAGGAAGGGTGCTTCCTTAGCCCCATTCCTCAAACCCAGTCCCCCTTGAAGGGAAGAAAGGAAAGGGTACTTCCTTAACCCTGTTTCTCAAACCCAGGCTTCCTTGAAGAGAAGAAAGAAAAACGTCTTAGAAAGGGTACTTCCTTAACTCCTTTCCTCAAACGCAGTCTCCCTTGAAGGGAAGAAAAGAAAGGGTCCCAGAAAAGGTGCTTCCTTAACCCCGTTCCTCAAACCCAGGCTCCCATGAAAGGAAGAAAGGAAAGGATCCCAGAAATGGAAAGGGGGGGGGGGGGCTTGTAAGTTTCCCATTGCCACCAATTGGCCGGATCTTCTGGCTGCCTAGCAGAAAACAGATTTTTCTATTAGTCGACTTTTGGGAGGCTCCGGAAAATGGATCTGGGTACATCAGTAAAATTTTGGATGCCAAAAACAGATTGTACTCCAGTCGAATTGCACAAACCCAATAAAGATTCTAATATAACATGCAAACAAATAAATAGATAGATAAAATAGAGTAGAAGTCTCAAAGGATTTTGTCCAAATACTTCTAACACCTTACTTGCATTTCATCACCAGCTGTAGGCAGTATAAAATAAATAAATAATCAAACACGTGGTTTTATGTTGTTTGAGTTCATAAGAGTTAAGTGAGGGATAAGATGATATTGCAACGCCTTCTCATTTTCCAGTAATAAAAAATAAGAATTAGAAGATTGGTATTCATGGAGGTTTTTCTGGAAATGTCCCACCCAATGCATTGGAGAGTTAGTACAGTTTTGTCAATGGAGAGCTTTATTCAAATTTATTCAAAAGAGGAGACCATTTTTAAAATTCCATCTCAGCTTCTATAATTTATAACTGATTTTAGGTAAGTTCATTTCTGCCTTCGTTCCCCATCTGTTCTTTTTGATCACAACTCCCAGAATTCCCAGCCAGCATAGCATAGCAGCAACAGCATATTGGTTTGTTCTCTGACGCGATAGAAATGTTTGGTAACACCACAACATAGATTTTGCAACAAAATGCTGAAATTTGCAAATAACTTATTCATGGTTCCAATATTTCTATTTTGCACCGGCTGCCAAGCATCCAACATTTCAGGCGAGAGCTGAAGAGTGAGTTAACACACAAGTGAATTCAACTGACTACAGTCGGGATTAATAACAGAGTTTAGACATTGACCAGAATCTTGTGCTCTCTCGGCATTCTGTTTTCCTTTCATCTTTTCCAACTTATAGATGCCCAAAAGAGAACCGATCACACGGTTTTCTGGTGTGACTTTCTCCCTAGTATCCTTAGCTGGCTTTTTCTATTTCTGTAAAACATGGAGTTCAACTTCATGTGTATAGGTACTGTGGTTTCGGCTGTATGGGCAATAAAATTCAAAAACGTGGATGCTGGAAATAGAGATATATAAACGGAAGTACAAGCAGTCCTAAAATTATGAACAAGATAAGTTCTATAGGTTTGTTCTTAAGTTGAATTTGTTTGTAAGTCAAAACACATACATTTTTAATCCAGCCTTTTGGTGCCCCTGTTCAGATTTCACTTCACTTTCTGTCCCTGTGATAATTGGATTTTGAAAACTTTGGCTTGTTGTGGAAACAAGGATTGGTGATGAAGCTTCAATGGAAACACCTTTTCCCCATGATAATAACTCTTTCAGGAGTGAATTTCCCTTCTGAGGGTTAGATTTTTCTCACTTCCTGTTGTCTCAACCCCATTCTTTACTATGAGCCATTTGTAAGTGAGGCGTTTGTAACTTGGGGAATGCCTGTATATATGAAATTGTACTCAATACCTTTCATGTCAAAATTCACTTAGATTTCACAGCTTTGGCTTCATTCAATGTACGAGTGGTATTTTTAAAGTAAGGTCCGTTTTGTTGTAGACACTAGTAGTTCGCGTGCATACAGCAACGAGCGCATGCGTCGTGTACCGGCATGCCTCGGGAACAACTGTGCTCAGTTTCCGCTCTGTAGTTAACCTGTACAGTTCTGTTCTGTGCTTTAAAAATGTTTAAGACTATCAACTCACCCTCCGCATGTGAGGTTCGCTCAGTGATACGGTTTTTGTCAGCAAGGAACCTGCCTGCTGCAGAAATTCATTGACAGATTTGTGAAGTGGACGGTGATACTGTTATGAGTGAAAGCAAAGTGCGTAAGTGGGTACGACAATTCAAAGATGGCTGTGACAACGTCCATGATGAGGACTGCTCAGGTTCCTTGCTGATAAAAACCGTATCACATGCGGCGGGTGAGTTGATAGTCTTAAACATTTTTAAAGCACAGAACAGAACTGTACAGGTTAGCTACAAAGCAGAAACTGAGCACAGTTGTTCCCGAGGCATGCCGGTACACCACGCATGCGCTCGTTGCGGTATGCGCGCGAACTACTAGTGTCTACAACAAAAAGGACCTTACTTAAAAAATACGCCTCGTATATTCAATGTTATGAACTGGCGGTTACCATGTGATGTACAAAATGGCTGCAGGATAAGATAAGATCTAAACTATCTTAACTATCCATGGTTGGTTGGATTGTCGAATTAAGGGCAGAAGCTTTCTGGCTGGCATTACTCTTTACAGAAGCCATACAACATCTTTCCTCAACCCAGTGCCCTGCCTCCAGTCATGGGGGATGCCTGGCTCGAGAGCAGAATGTGTGAAAAAGATCTTGGAGTCCTCGTGGACAACAAGTTAAACATGACCCAACAATGTGATGTGGTGGCAAAAAAGCCAATGGGATTTTGGCCTGCATCAATAGGAGTATAGCGTCTAGATCTAGGGAAGTAATGCTACCCCTCTATTCCTCCTTGGTTAGACCACACCTGGAATATTGTGTCCAATTCAGGGCACCACATTTGAAGAGAGATATTGACAAGCTGGAATGTGTCCAGAGGAGGGCGACTAAAATGATCAAGGGTCTGGAGAACAAGCCCTATGAGGAGCGGATTAAGGAGCTGGGCATGTTTTGCCTTCAGAAGAGAAGGCTAAGAGATGATATGATAGCCATGTATAAATATGTGAGAGGAAGTCACAGGGAGGAGGGAGCAAGCTTCCCTGGAGACTAGGACGCGGAACAATGGCTTCAAACTACAAGAGATTCCACCTGAACATTAGGAAGAATTTATTATCTGTGAGAGCTGTTCAGCAGTGGAACTCTCTGCCCCAGAGTGTGGTGGAGGCTCCTTCTTTGGAAGCTTTTAAACAGAGGCTGGATGGCCATTGGTCAGGGGTGCTTTCAATGCAATATTCCTGATTCTTGGCAGAATGGGGTTGGACTGGATGGCCCATGAGGTCTCTTCCAACTCTATGATTCTATGTTATCTTATAACCCTTGTCATCCCCATTCTTCATGGACCATGGTTTCATTTCTGAGGGTGAAATTCCATTTCCTATTCAGGTATATTTCTGCCTGTCCTGAGGGAAAGCACAGTAGATAAGATCCCAAAGGCAAAAAAGCCAGAGTACATACTATTACACAGAGGAAGTTACAAAAAACGAATGGATGGAACACAGCCAGTCTCCTTCCTTATGACTCGCTCTCTCTCTCTCTCTCTCTCTCTCTCTCTCTCAAATTAATTAGTGTCTCCAATGCACTGAGTTAAGAAGGAAAAGGTTCAGAGTTACATTCCTTTCACTGGACAAGGAGTTTTAAAATAGATGCCCCATCTTCCTGAACAGACACAGTCCAAGAAAATAACAGTGAAATCCCAATATTAATTATCATTATCATAATACATCTTACATTAGTACTTGTTTTCATGTCCATGGATCTCGGATTGATGAGTCAGTCCCTGTAGTAATGCCCCCCATTTTTTCAGAATGGAAGGAGAAGCCCAAATATCTGGAGGGGCCCATCTGAGTGAAGGTACATCACTCAGGATGGCAACATAGTCCCATAATGTTTAGTCCTGCATTCTCCCTCTGTGCCCCCTCCACGGTGCACCTGAATTTCCTAAAGTTCAGAAAAAAGGTCTTTGCATTATAAGAACAAGTTGTCCTTCACCTCTCCTGCTGTCCCGTTGGCTCCATTCAACTCAATGGGCTCCTGGCTGTCAACTTTGCTTGCATCTTGGCATCCATTGCCTTTCTCCTCATCCTGGTCTTCCTTCTCCTCACACTCTGTCTCCTTCTCTGACTCCACCGCACTCAGCAGGTTGGCATTGGAGGGGTGGCTGAGGAGCCGCCCCTCCCGGAAAGACTCAGCCAGTTCTTTGGCACAGCATGAGGGGGTGTTGGTTTCGTAGGTGTTGTGGAAGCTGTTGTAGTCGACTTCGTAGAAGTCCTTCTCCAGGGTGAGCACAGGGGTGAAGCGGTGTCCCCAGAGCACTTCGGTGTCCATGTAGGAGCTCCGAGCCTGGCAGGTCATTCCTGGAGGGAGAGAAAGAGCAGAGGGGTGTTCACTGGGTGTGATGAACAGGCAAAGACATTACATGGATAGCATCTTGTAACGCTGAGCTGCAGCTCCCTCCTTTTAGAGTTTAAAAGCAATTCAATGTCACTGCCATATCAGAGTGTACCGGGACATGAAAAGAGGATTTGCTTAATAAACTTTCTTTTTTTAAAAAAAAAAAAGTGTGTGTGTGTGTGTGAATGAATCTTATGTTGAACCCAAAAGTATCCAATGAACTAGCCATGTCTTTTCTTGCAAACACACAAATATACACACAAAATTATTTATTTATTTACCACATTTATACTGCCCTTCTCAGCCCGAAGGCGACTCAGGGCGGTTCACAGTTGGCAACAATACTGTTAAAAACATTATTATTATTATTATTATTATTATTATTATTATTATTATTATCCTTTATTTGTACCCCACTACCATCTCCCGAAGGACTCGGTGCGGCTTACAAGAGGCCGAGCCCAAATACAACAGTAAAAACAGCAGCAACAACAACAAACAACAAAATAACTCAAAAAACTAGGCAATAACATTAACAACACACAATGACGCAATTAAAATCAATGGCAGGGCCAAATGTAATAATTAAAATTAAAAAGTGCTGGGCATGATCAGGTGAGGTGTTTGGAGGGGGATGGGCATGCAGATATCCTGGATCTCTGATAAAGTGTGTTGGGGATATAATGCTTGGAGTTTCCTTATTCTGGGAAGGCACACTGGAACAACCACGGTTTCAAGCTCCTCCTAAAAATTGCTAGTGACAGGGCCTGCCTGATGTCCTTAGGGAGAGAGTTCCAGAGTTGAGGGGCCACCACCGAGAAAGCCCTACCCCTCGTCCCCACCAATCGCGCTTGCGATGCAGGTGGGATCGTGAACAGGGCCTCTCCAGATGAACGAAGAGATCATGTGGGTTCGTACACAAAAACATTAGCATAAAATATAAAAATATAAAAACCGTACAAATATAAAAATTATACAAAGCCATAAAAACAATATTGTGAGTGTCTTCTTGTTAAAATCGTTATTCAATTGCATTGTCAGGTTGTTCCATGATTTTGTATAATTATGCTGGGTTAGCAAAAGCCTGCTCAAAAAGCCTGGTTTTAACCTTTCTTCAAAAAGTCAGGAGGGAGAAGGGTGTTCCACAGTTGAGGAGGCACCACTGAGAAGGCCCCGTCTCTTGTCCTCGCCAAACACATCTGTGAGGAAGGTGGGACTGAGAAGAGGGCCTCCCCAGAAGATCTTAGTGTCCTAGATGGTTCATAAGGAGAAATATGTTAGGATAGGTAAGCTGGTCTGGAACCATTTAGGGCTTTATAGGCTAAAGCCAGCACTCTGAATTATGCCACACAACAACTGTAGGGCGCAAAAACTAAGGATGAGAGCACTGTTTGAAAAATGTACATATGTATGTATGTGCACATTTATATTCTATATCTGTATCTACGCACATATCCACATATTCCTTTCAAACTGATGACAGAAACTTTTTGGCTGGCCCCATTCTTTGGACACTTGATGACCATTTAAAAACCCAATTATTCCAAACTAAAAATGAATTTTTGCTCAAGTCTAGGTGTTATATATTGAGAGGAAAATGTCACTTTGAGCTGTCCATTAGACTGCTCGGCGGTATCAGGAGAAAAATATTGGATCCGCTGAAGCTGACCACTCTTGGTTTGAAATGTGTTTCGTATTGTCAGTGTATGTTGATAAAACCTTTTGACAGCAAAGATTAACAGGGTAACCATAATGCAACTATGCGCTGCCAAAAGAAATGCCCTTCCGGCAACAGAACCCTCATCTGCCAGCTGATTCTCTGTAAAGAAAAGGCTGTTTTCAGTGCAAACATACACACACACATTTTTTTTTTGCAGGGAATAAATTCTGAATCATGATTCTGCCGGGCATTGTTTTCTGACACTTGAAAAACATATTGTTTCAGGAAAATATTTGAATATTATTTTTTGCCCTAGATGGGCAACATTTCCTCTATTCTGGGGAATACGATAGTTCAAATCACACTCCACATGGTATCTTGCTGAAACCTTAAGTGACGTTCCACTAAACACCTTCCATCCTTTTATTCCACACCAAGGGACATGAGTGGCTCTTTAGAGGTTTTTGGACCGGCACTCCCAGCATTCCTCACCACTGGCTGTAGTGGATAGGACTGATGGGGGTTGTGATATGACATTATCTGGATGGCTGCATGACCCCCACTATACATTTCTGTATAGTGGAAGACAAAGCCTCTTCTCAAGATGAGAAGGAGACAGGATGATACATAACAATAAAAAAATAAGCAGCCACACTTTTCTCTAGCTGAAGCAGGGCTGGAAATCTCTTCAGCTGGCTGTCAGAGAAGACTTCCGCTACAGCCGGCTTCTGGGCAGACAGAATCAACAAGAACAGCGTTAGTCATGCCATTCTGGCTTTCAGCAAAGAGCAGAGGCTGCTTCAAAAAACATTGTGCCGGAGGAGGAAAGGAAATCCAGAATGTTCGGAACAGGGCGAGTGGGCCCTGCTCAGGAAGCAGCGAGCTTGGCAAGGAAGGAAGGTCCTTCTCCTCAGTAGATCAGGAAAGAATCCTGATTCTAATGTGACTGTAATAACATTGTTGCCTCAACTAGGTTGGTGTAAACTTCACTCATCAGGCCTATGAGATGGTGTAAGGGGTGCTGGTGCATTGGCCTCGGGTCCTGACCTTGGGCCCAACTCCATTGGTCTTTGGTATGTGCTGGAGAAAAGAATGAATTTAGGACAAGGTTCTACCCAGGGGCGGCTCAACCCATTACGCAAAGTAAGCATTTGCAGTATAGCTGATTTTGCCCAGGGGCGCTCTTGAGGCGCTCTTGGGGGAAAATAGACCTTGACGTATGTGAGTTGTAGTTGTTACTGGGATGTATAGTTCACCTACAATCAAAGAGCATTCTGAACTCCACCAATGATGGAATTGAACCAAATATGGCACACAGAACTCCCACGATGAACAGAAAATATATATAAGTGATTGGTTGGGGGGGGGCGCTAAAATACTGTTTGCTTACGGTTAAAAATTACCTAGGGCCACCTCTGGTTCTACCCCTCTCACTTTTCACTCTTTTTTAGTTGAATACAAAGAGGAAAGTAGTAGTAGAAGAGGTAAACTGCAGCTACAAAAGTGAGATGGTAAGATGATTGATCAGGACTGTCCCTGTTAAATTGGGACAGTCGGAGAGCATACTAAGAATAAAGAAACAGGGTCCATTTTGAGCACATGCCCAGCTTAGGAATTTGTGAGTGGAACCAGAGTCACATTCACAAGTTCTCCTACCCAAAAATATGCTCTGAACTACTCCTGGATCGTTATTTCTTAGCAACTCAGTTTAAGGAAAACTTTTCAGCTGTTGCTGCTATGGGGCAAGAGAGGATCAGAGAAGCATTTATTTATTTATGATATTTATAGCCCGCCTTTTTCAGTCATACGGCAACTCAAGGCAAGTTACAGATTGGCACAATTAGATGTCAGGCATTCATTAAAGTGCCATTAAAAACAATCAACATTACAATATAAAACATAAATAAAAACCGTTAAAGCATATAATCATTGGTGTCATCTTGTTAAAAACATTATCCAGTAATGTTGTCTGGCCATTCCATGTTCATCATTCATAGTTCTGTGTTATGTATTCCGCTGCATTCTCAAAAGCTTGCTCAGAGAGCCAGGTCTTTATTTTTTTTCAGAAAGTCAGGAGGGAGGGGGCCGATCTAATATCCCTGGGAAGGGGGCCCCATAGCCAGGGGGCCACCACTGAGGAGGCCCTGTCCTTCATCTCTGCCAACCGCACTTGTGAGGCAGACTTGTGAGCAGGGCCTCCCCAGATGATCTTAAGCATGGAAACCATGTGCAAAGATTTCAGACATGGAGGATAGTGGTCTAAACTCAGTGGCTTCTTAGTAAGCTTCTGTGCATGAAATGGGATGCTATGTTATTTTATTTCACTTGGGCAGAAAAACACCTTGGGCTGTCCCTATATGTAATTTAAAGGCTTACAGTTCAGAGACAACTTTTAAAGAAATGCAACTCTGCCACTTCAAAAGCTACATGTTTGGTTGACATATTTTAAGAATGGTGCAAAAGGAATCCATGGTGTTCTATGGAAGAGGACCATCATGCTGAAATTTGGGACCACCCTCCTACTCAGTTCATGAGTTGCTCATGGAAAGAAGCCATGGCACTTAATCAGATGCAAGGAAGATTCACTTCATGGATTGCTTTCCTGCTTTCTGCCTTTGTCAAATTAATTCTTTCTTCTTCTTCTTTGTCCCTCCAACATAGCTGAATTCAATGAACATACTCTTTAACATACAATTTAGAACAGTGGGTCCCAACCTGTGGTTTGTGGACCACCAGTGGTCTGCAAGAATAATAATATGGTCTGCAGTTTCACCATTACTACACTGTTGCCTTGAAACATGTGGCAATGAGAGCAAAACTCTCTTATAGTGCTGAGGCAATGGGAATGTTGGGAGGGAAGAGTCTAACTATCCATAGAAGATTACTATTTATTTATTTATTTATTATATTTATAGCCCGCCTTTCTCAGCCATATGGCGATGCAAGGTGAGTTACAGATTGGCAGAATTAAATGACAGGCATTCATAAAAGTGCCATTAAAAACAATCAACATTACAATATAAAACATAAATAAAAACCGTTAAAGCATATAATCATCGGTGGCATCTTGTAAAAACATTATGCAGTAACGTCGTCGGGCCATTCCATGTTCATCATTCATAGTTCCATGTTATCTATTCCACTGCATTCTCAAAAACTTGCTCAAAGAGCCAGGACTTTACTTTTTTTCGGAAATTCAGGAGGGATTACTACTACCACATCAGCTCTAGATTACTGCTACCACATCAGCTCTGCACCCTACAGACAAATTACAAATTACACTGCTTAGCCGGTATTGCACCA